TTCATATTGAATACGTTTAATAAGACAAAACAACACGTAGAAGCAAATTTTTGCTATTATTGTGATTTTTAATAACGAACAAAAGTTGCCTTTTATATATAGTTTATAGTAATATTTAAATTATTAAAATTTAATTGAAATTTTTTGAGATCATTTTATAAATTTTTACGTAGTAATTTATAATTTGTAGTTTTTGTCTTCAGTAAATTATATTTCTTTATTATATAAAAATAATTTTGAATAAAAAAATTGAACTAGAAATAGATTAAAAAAATTTTTACATTATTATTTCACAATTCGTTTATTTATTATGTGAATATGTAATACTTTACATATTTTATATATTTTGAAATATTAATAAATACAAATCTAGTACATATCTATATATATCTAATTTATGCACGTTTATTATTCATATCTAATATTTACATAGATATTTTAATGTTTAATTACAATAAAAAACATTATAATTAATAATATAATAAAAATAAGAATTAAAATTAAAAATATATATATACTCAACAAAAACATGATGTGATTGCTTATTTCATTTAATGTAACTTCAAAAAACAAAATAAAAAAAGATATTAAAATTTCAAAGTTTTTACGTTTATCTTCTACTATTAAATTTGAAAAATTAGAGGCAAATTTTGTTTATTATTAAAAAAATATATTCATATTTAATTTTTTCTTTCTTCTCATTCTTAATATTTATTCAAAGATATCAGAACGAACTTTGGCATTTTTTTTATATTTGTATAATGAAATGTTAATTCATAGAATTATACATATTATATATTTATACGATTTACGTATAAAATATGCGAATCGTTGAATATATTAAATTTATAAATAAATTATCAACGTTCGTCACATTCTTCAGAATAAACCCGATTTCACTAACGAAATATTAAATTATTATTTATAATATAATAAATAATAATTAATTATAAGAATAGTCCTTATGATAAATGGTATTTGTTTTTCGAAAATATATTTTCTTATTGTGGTTTCGAGTTTAAAAAATTGGATACTATTCATTGAATGAAAATTGAAATAACATAATGGATTTTGTTTTGAATAAATCAAATATCGAATATTGTAATAGGGATAACTGGGAATTTAATTGAATGAAACGATATTCGATAATTAGGAATTAGAACGTCGAAGAACATAAATTCTTAATCAACTTCTTAAATATCCCAGTATATAAAATATATTGATATCTTTTTAAGTTATTTTTACAAATAATAATTTCGTTCATTGATCTTGTATTATGGAGTGATATAAAATTATTAATATTATTAAAGATAATATTAATTAAAATTATTATAATTGAAGAAATTATAGTGCATTAATTTTTTTAATGATATTTAGAGATAAAAAAAAGAAAAAATTATTATATATAAAAATTATTATTTATATAATTATTTATATAATTTTCTATTATTAGATTGCGGATATTAATGCATGGATATAACAAATTTAAGAATGCAAAAATATGCAAAAATGTATAAAATATCGAAAATGAAATATTTAATATAATATTTAATAAATTAAATAAAGTTTTAGATTTTCAATTATATTTATAAGAATATAGAAATTTACATAAAAATCCGTAATCTCAATCTTAAATCTCATTGTTTTCTTAATATTTGAATAATAGTTAAAAATACAATATAGTAATTATTTACTTATATTTTTAAATATACGACTTATTTGTTTCTTGTTTTCTTTTTACATTAAGAATTTAAGAATCTACTTGTTTATTCTTTCTTCTTTTATGGAAAATTTCTTCGAAGTTATGCATGGCTTATATTAAAAAAGAAAGAATAAACCGGTTTAAAATGTTGTGTATTTTCATTTTAGATGAATATATATTATTTATTTATTTATTTTAATTATTTGCAAATTATTCCGAAGTCTGAAATATTTCCAAGTTGCGTTATCGATGTAATCATTATTTAAACTATTTTTTTATCCCATTACTTAAAACAATTGAGCTTACAATTTATAAAAAATTTATTGTATGAGTTATAAGTAAATCAATTTTTTTTAACATTAATATTTATATTTATTTATTATATTTAATATTTATTTATTAATAAAATAATTTAAAAAAAATTATGCGTTAAAATTTACTTAAATCTATGTCATTCCTTTTTTTTATTGAAAAAAATTTTAAATTAAAAATTTTAAAAAAATTTAATTTAAAATTGCAATGTCGAAATCAACGAAGCAACCGCTCCATTATGGACATCATATTATATTATATTGTCACTGTATATTTGATTAAACTATTTCGTTTTTATATTGGAAACAAAAATAATTTTATAATTTCTTTGCTTTCCTTAGCAAAAAAAATTTATTGCATGATTAGATTTTCTTCTGAATCCTTAATTTTTAAAATAAATTGAAAAATATCAATAAAAATGGATGTATTTTCCTTCTAATTATAATTATTTTAAATAATCGTTATTTTAAATATATTTATATATCTTTTATGATTTAATAATTTAATAAATATTTATATTTATTATTGAGAAGGATTTATAGAATCATTTATAATAACTAAATAATTATTATCGTAAAAGCACAAAACAATTTTTAAAGGTGCAATTGCTTTTAAATTATTTTTTTCGAAATTTGTGGATTCTAATATGATTTGCAGATTTATATAATACATTAAAATGTATAAGAAATGCATAATAATAATTATAAAATCAAATAAAAATGAAAATTTGACAAATAATGTTATTTATAATAATTCTAAATATTATTTTTAACTTATGAAAAAAAAATAAATAATGTTAACTAGTCCTAAAAAAAAAGTCACTTTAAAAATCTTCCCCAACTTTTATTAACTTTATAAAAAATAAATATATAAAAGCACGAAAATAATATAGAATCTTGAAATTTATGTCATCACAAAATGCTAATGAATTTTTTAATGTTCATAATATGCATTTATTTCGTAAACAAAATATTTAAATACATTTATAATTAAAATAGTTTCATTTCACGAAAAAAAAAAAATAAAAAATAAAGAGTATAAATATTTTTTTTATATATTGAAATCCATTTATAGCAAATTAAGGATTTAATTTAATTTAATAAATTGCAAAACAAAGCAATTTCAAAAATTTTTTACAACATAATATAAAATAAACTCATTTGTCTATAATATATTAAATCTATAATATAATAACTTAAAATTTAAATAAAAAAAATTAAATATACTATTAAATATACTATTTATCTATGTAAGAATTAATTATTGGATTGAGGAATTATATTATTATTTTTTTTTAATAAAAAAAAGAATGTTTCTTATATATCTGTATATAACTAATTTTTTATATTTATGCATTATATAATACTATGGACGTCATATATAGTTCGAAAATTTATATTTAAATTATTTTATATTTATATTAATCATTATTATAAAATTTAATAAACTCATAATTCGTTATTTTAAAAATAATGAATTATGAGTTTCTTATAACATTTTCTACAAAATTAAATAAGGAAAATGTCATTATATTATTCCTTGTCACTTTATAATTGTTATAAATTATAATTTGTTTCATAATTTATAATATATAATAAAATTATATATATAAAATTATAGATAATAAAATTATAATAAAATTTTATATCACGCATCGTTATCATTGTTCATAAAATACAATATTGTTATTATAAATAATTTAATTTATAATCATTATTGAATGAAACAATTTATTTTATAATTTATTCTCCAAAAAATTAATTTTTAAAAATACTCAATGTATTCAATTTTTAAAATAATATTTTTATTAATAATATAAAATTGTAATTGTAATTATAATCATTTTTAATGTAATAGTTTGTAAAATTTTAATTTTTATATTTTATATAATTAAAATTAATAATATAAAATTTTAATCGATTTTTCATATGATTTTTTAGTTAAATTTAAAAATTTGTTTTATTATTTCTATTCTGTTTCGAAAATATGATAAAACATTAAAGTAAATAGATAAATTGATATTTAATTTAAAAAAAGATCTAAAAAATATAACTAACTTACTATATCTAATATATATCTAATTTGTTTATTTCTTTTACAATTATGAAAACTGGAAAAAATTATTGATTCATAGAAAGAAGAAAAAAATATAAATTATCTGACAATTTATACAATAATTTGATATGTATAGTTTTAGAAGTTGAATTTAGAAGTAACTAATTATATATGTTAAGAATAAGTTTCGAAATTATGATATATATAATAATTTATAAATCTTATAATATAATTTTTAAATGAAATTAAAGAATTATTAATTGAAAATAATTAATTCATTAAGAAATGTAATTTAATTATATATATGTAATTAATTTATTAGAAAAATTTCAATATTATTTTTTTTTTTATTTTTCTCCAATAAAAATCTTAAAATAATATTAAAATGATATTCGATCATTATCAGATATTTATTTTTTGAATTGAATTATTTGAAATATTAATAAAAGAAAAAAAAGTAAAAACCAGATAAATATTTTATCAAATTCAAATCTAATTTTCAAACTTATAATCAAAATAGATTATGTTATTTATAATATAATTACTTAAACTTTTTATTTGCTATTAAATTTGTTTAATATTATTTGCTTAATCGCAAATTTGCATTCAAAACATAATTCAGCATAATTCAAAACATTCATGAAGGAAAAATTCATAAATTAAAGTTTAGTTAAGACAAATTGCAAACATTATTCTTATATTTCTTGATACATAATTTTTTTTTTTAGATAATTATTAAAAATATAATATATTCAATTTTATTTTCTTTACTTTTGTTTTATTCTGATAACTTTAGCTATACTTCATCAAGTTAATCAAAAGATTGAAAAACATATCGACTGACGTAAAATGGATGTTTGAAATCTTATCTATGTATATGTGGTGCATATATATGCACATCTACATACAAACAATGTATAAAAACACATACAACTTCAGTAGGTCGCAAAGTATATTTTCCTTTCATTTTCTGCAACAACCAGTTACGTTTACGACGTCGTCGTTGGAAGTACTGAAGGTTAGGTTGAGATTACTACGTTATATTTGAACTTTCCTCAATTCTCCCTACCACAAATGTTATTGGTTGAACGTTGAACGCGACAGTGCGTAAAGTCCAAGGAGTCGCTTGTGACATTCTTATACGATTTGAAAGGGATACGGTATTTACATTTTTTAATATGTATTTTTTTTATAAATATTTAATCATTTGTTAATTTAATTTAGACAATTTTTCAAGATTTATTTTATTATATTTCATTATTATTATGCTTTTTATATAAATATTTAATAATAAGTATGTAAAATAATGATATAAATATGCCGATACTATTTGCAAGTGATCAAGATTTGTGTTGATTAATATGTTAGTTATTAATATATTAATATCAGTGATTTAATTCATTTTTCTTATTGCAAATATATTTAGTTAAATTTTTAATCATTGAAAATAGTTTAAATTAAATTTTAATATAAATATAAATTCTGTATTTTAATATATATAAAAAGTATATATTAATAAATTAATAAATTTAATTTTTAAATCAATCAAGCTTTGTTCTTTTATATTATTTTTTAATCATAAAAATTTTTTTTTAGATTAATTGTAACTACACGAGACTTAATTTATTGTTCATATACAAATTTTATATAATGGGTCCTTTAACTACAAGAGTTAAATATACTTTTCATTCTCTTTGTACAATTGCTGTAAGAGCATTATCTACCAATGCAATGTTAAATCCAAAAAATGATGTAAAAGAATAGTACTTAAGTATTTGGATGGAAAAGATAATGGTATTGTAGTATTAGGATTAAATCGACCCACTGCTTCTAATGCTCTTGGCAAAACTTTAACTAGTCAACTAAATGATGCTATTTCTTCCATCAGAGAAGATACAAAATTGCGAGTATTAATTATTCGCAGTTTGGTTCCAAAAATTTTCTGTGCTGGTGCAGATTTAAGAGAAAGAAGAAGGATGGATAATTCAGAAATTTTAAAATTTGTTTCATTTTTAAGAAGTATAACAAATAGTATAGAGACATTACCAACTCCAGTAATATCTGCTATAGATGGTACTGCATTAGGTGGTGGCTTAGAACTTGCTCTAGCTACAGATATTAGAGTTGCAACATCAGATTCCAAAATGGGACTTGTAGAAACAAAATGGGCTATTATTCCTGGAGCAGGTGGCACACAACGACTTCCAAGAATAATTGGAATTGCTAAAGCAAAAGAACTCATTTATACTGCACGTATAGTTGATGGTGAACAAGCTATGGAAATTGGTTTAATAAATCAAGTAGTTCCTCAAAATAAAAGTGGTGATGCTGCTTATCAAACTGCTTTAACAATTGCCAGAGAAATTTTACCTAATGGCCCTATTGGAGTTAAGTAAGTATAAAGATAATATTAAATATTCTCTTTCTAAAAATTGATAAGATAAAATTTGACAAATAAAACAATTTCAAACAATTGGTAACAATTAACTTTATTTAATAAAAAAACTTATTAACTTTCAAAGTTTTTACAAATTTAATTTATAAACATAATACATAATATAACATATTATAGCAGACAATACTTATTTTTTATTTTTATTATATTTTAGAATGGCAAAAACAGCAATGTCGAAAGGTCTTCAAGTATCTATTACAGATGGACTTGAAGTTGAAAAACAATGTTATAATAAAGTTGTGGATACAAAAGATAGAATTGAAGGATTAGCAGCATTCATAACAAAACGTATACCTGTTTATCAAGGAATGTAAATATATCAAAATGAAATATTGAAATATGAATGTTTTACAAATTTGTTACGCTTAATTATTAACATATCAAGAATATGCATTTTAATAGAAACTAAATGTAGGAAATACGCTATTCTTTTACTACATTTTTATAATATGACTAATTTTGATATACATGTTTATGAAAGTTCAAGCACCTTTGTATTTAAGCAGAAATCTACAAAAATAGTAAATTAATACTTAATACAGAAATAATATTATATAAGGTTCATAGTTTTAAGTATTTTTATATGTGATTTAAAATTCCAGAATTTATATAGTTTATATTAATTTTGTTGTTTTAATATATATATGTATATATGCATCTATATACAAAGTTTATTTTTAAAAAATAAAATTATATTTATAAAATTTTATGATTTTTATTCTATTTTATTTATATTTATATTAATATTATCATCTTAAATAAAATAAAAAATATAAGATTATGCTCTATATAAAAATATATGTATATATTCATTCTTTGTTTTTTTTTTAAATAGAATTTCATTATATGTTTTATGTAAAATCTTTTAGATAGAATATATAGCATATATATATACATACAAATACACACATATATATATAATCAAATAAAAATGAAAAAAAAATGAAATTGAATCTTTTGAATTTATAAATTTTTATTTAAAAAATAGAAAATTAATAAGCAACTTTATTAAAAAAAGAATAATGAAATAAATGTACAATATATGTTATATATCTATCTTAATAAATTTTATAAAACCAATACCCTATTAGATACATATAAAATATATTATGATAACGTATAATATAATCATTTTAAAACTTACTACTTACATTTTTATAAATATCACATAGTATCAACAAAAGCTAATATTAAAGTAATATTTTATAAGATAATATTTTAAAAGAGATATCCTCTATCTTTTTGTACAATTAAGAAAATTATAAGATATAAATCTATTTTGTCATATAATTATACATATATTTCAAGAATTTGATTGATTAATAAATATAAAATATCAAATACTTTAAATCTTTTTATTATAGCTAGAAAATTTAGTTTAAATCAATTTTTTCAAAAATTTTTTTTTAAAAATGAAAATTTAATATTATAAATGAAATGCAATATAACTTATGTAAATAATATATCTTTTGTATATTAGATAAAATATTTAATGCATTACGCACATTGTACAGGAAATTCCAATTGTTCTTTTTCTCTTCTTTCTTTCATAAGTGTCATAAGAATGTTTAGTTGATTAATTGTATCTTCAGGACATGTCACACGATGTCCAACAGTTAAATCGCTTTCATAAATTTCATAATCATTGCCACCTTCTGTTGTTTTATCACCAAAGAAATGTATTTCATCATATCCTCGAATATGTCTAAGACAGTATGTTTTATCCCAACCAATAGGAAAAACATCAAAAGATATTTGACCTCCTTTAGATATAAAAAAGATATGTTCAATAAAAATTTTAATGAAATAGATAATTTTAATAATTTTTTTAATTAATATATTATAATTAGAAATACTAATGTTAAATATGTTAAATATAATTTTTTGAAATAAATCAGAAGAAAAAATGTAATTATATAATTATATCTATACTAAATATTTATGCAAAATACTTATATAAATATAAAAAATCTTGCTTACCTATACTATATGTTAAAGCAAGATCTGGAAATTCTTTTTTAATAGCTTGAATAAATTTCTGTCGAATTTGATGTTCAAGATCATATTCATAAAATTGAATACGCTCTTCTTTAGTACAATTACGACCAACAGGTGATATATTAATCATACCTGTTCTAAATTCTATAAAAGTTCCACGTTTGAATGGCAAATGTAATTCTGATATATATTTTAAACAAAAATTGATTAAATCTTGCAATGCATCTTCACCAATAATACTTTGAATTGTCTAAAATAAAAAATGAAATTTTAAATAAATATCACAAAAGTACATAGAAAATTTTATAAAATATATTTTCTAATTATGTTGCTTACTTCAGTAGTCAATTGTTTTTCATTTTTAAATGCAATAAGTCCATTCTCTGCGAAAACATATTTATATTTTTCAAATATACTTTTACCACCTAATTGTTCTTTAATCTTGTTTAAATCTGATCCACCGACTACAGCTAAATCAAATTCCTTTCTAACAGTTTCCAAAAGAAATTTTTCCATAGATGGTTTAATTGCCTAATTAGAGAAATTAAATAGGAATTTATTTACAATATATTTTTTATTTTCATTGTATATATACCTGTCTAGGATCTGTAAGTGTGCCATCAACATCAAATAAACATATTATTTTCTTCGTCATAGTAAAATGATATTATATATTTATTTAATCTGAAATATAAATTTCGAAATTAAATTTTTAATAAGAAATGAATATTAAAAAAAATTCATAAAAAAATAAAAATAATTATTAAAAAATTTTTTATACTAAATATTAAAAATTATTAAAAATATTAAAAATACGAAGTTTATTTTTATCTTTAAAAAACTATCGTATAAAGCAAATACATTACACAAATCACGTGCAAGACTTATTATTATACTTATTATTTTACTTATTATGTTTCTCATTATTATATTATATTAACAATTCTCTTTTTGTAATCTTTTTTGACAGATCGAAATATATTCAAACTTTATATTTATAATAATATCCAAATTTTAATATAATTTATATATTTTTAAGTTAACAAAAAAAAAATAAAAAATAAAATATAATACATTTTTAATAAAAATATATAATTTTTAGAAACATTATCGAACATTAACATATGTCAATAATGGAATAACAAATATAACCTATTACATGCAATAATTTATTGACATATAAATAAAAACGAAATTAATATTTTATTATATAATATTATATAATGATATAGTTAAATTGACATTTGATTTCTTTTGCTTTCATCGATTACAAAAATAAATTTAACATTATATATATTATAAAATAAAAAAAATACAGACGGTGTATAAACTGATACGTGGCTAATTTGACGTGTTCTTCATCAGTTCTGTTTTTATCTAAAATATTATATTTATCTAAAAAATTATATTATAACAATGTTAAAAAGAATCTACTTGAATAAATTTAATTATTTTATCTACCTTATCTTATTACAATTGCGTAATACAAATGCAAACATTACGCCGCATAAAAATGCTGTTTTACTTTTAGGTAAAAAAAATTAAAATGTAAAAAATTGAAATGTATAATTTTATGATTTTTTCATCTAATCTTTGTTTGAATAAAATTTTTAAAATAATAAAAATATTTTATTATTTATACATTATATATTATATATATTATTATATATAAAATGCTATAAAATTTTATTTATTATTTATGAATAATTTTTAATTAAAAAAAAAATGTTTCATATTTTTTTATATTTAATCTTATAATAATATAAAATTTTATACTTAACATATAGCTGATGATGGTGGATTTGAAATGAGATCCTATTTGAATAAAATTTGCCAAACACCTAATTTAGATAATTTGGCAAAAGAAAGTTTATTATTTAATAATGCATATTCTTCAGTCAGCAGTTGTTCTCCTAGGTATCATTGTTTTTAATATTATATTTATATTATTATTATATAATATTATATAATATTATATTAATATTATATCAAATATAATTAATAATTTTAATATTCTTAATACTCTTCAACATTTTATATTATTATTATTATTATTACTGTATATATATATTATTACTTTAATACTGTATTTTTATAATTTTTATACATTTTAGTCGTTCCTCTTTACTTACTGGTTTACCAAGTCATCAAAATGGAATGTATGGTCTTCATCATGGAATTCATCATTTTAATTCATTTGAAACAGTTCAAAGTTTACCAAAAATATTGAAAAAAAATAATATAAGAACAGGTACTATCTTTAAAATTTAATAAGTATAAAATTCAAGAATCATCTATGAATATTTTACAGGTATTATTGGTAAAAAACATGTAGGTCCAAGCAATGTCTATCCATTTGATTTTTCACAAACAGAAGAAAATAATTCTATACTTCAAGTTGGTCGAAACATTACTAAAATTAAACTTTTAGTTAGAGAATTTTTGTCTCAGAATAAAACAAAGTATGAATTTTTTTTAATTTTCAAATTAATTTTTCTCTATTAATATAAAATTTCTATCAAACTATAACTTTATCATTAATAATTTTAATTATAATATTAAATATAGAAAAAAGAATTAAATATAGTATTTCATTTTTAGGCCCTTTTTTTTATATATTGGATTTCATGATCCTCATCGATGTGGTCATACACATCCAGAATATGGAAATTTTTGTGAAAAATTTGGTAATGGAGATATAGGTATGGGTACTATTCCTGATTGGAATCCAATATATTATCAATGGGAACAAGTAAAAGTTCCATATTTTGTTCAAAATACAGAAGCAGCTAGAAGAGATATTGCTGCTCAATATACAACCATTTCTCGTTTAGATCAAGGTATATTTGTTAAATAAAATTAAATTTAGATAATTAAATTAGATATATTGTTAAATAAAATTAAATTTAGATAATTAAATTAAAATTAGATATTTAAATTATTAAAAATTAATGTCTAACAAAAATATTAATAATATTAAAAAATGTTATTCAAATATGTTATTTATAATAAAAAAAATAAAAATTAATATTTTTTTTTAAAAAACTTTAAAATGTTAATTTAGTTTGTATTGCATCATTATATAATAATATAGTATATATAATAGTATATATAAGTTGTAAATTACAATAATATATTTTTATTTTAGAGGTAAAAAATTTCTAAATTAATTAATTACCTTTAAAAAAATATATAATTTCTTATTTTATATAATTATATTTTTTTATTACAAATATTCATAAAATTAAAAATTTTATTTTATTCTTTTGAGAAAATTAAATATTAAATGTTATTAATATAATAAATATAAAATACATAATATTATATATATTAAAAATATAATAACATAATAAAATAATAGATGAATTAGAAATAAATAAGAAATGCTAAAACTTTTATAGGTATAGGATTAATTTTAAAAGAATTGGAAGATGCTGGTTTTAAACATAACACATTAGTGATTTATACATCTGATAATGGTATACCATTTCCAAATGGTCGAACAAATTTATATGAACCAGGTAAATAAAAAATATTATATAATGATTAAATAATCTTTTTTTTAATTAAGATGAAAAATATTAAGTATCAAAAAATAATTGTTTACTATGTTAGGATTAGCAGAACCTATGATGATTAGGTCTCCAATTCCTAATCACAGAAAAAATAGTATAACACATAGTTTAACATCTTTATTGGATATTGTACCAACATTATTAGATTGGTTTAACATACCATATATGGATCCATTTGATACAAATGAAGCATCTGTTCCTTTCTTGACTGGAAAATCTCTTCTTCCCCTTCTTATTCAAGGTATATTTAAATTATTTTAGCATTCAATATTCTAATATTATATTTTTGTACATTTGCAGAACCTATAGAAAATAATACAGCTATTTTCGCCAGTCAAACACATCATGAAGTTACTATGTATTATCCCATGCGTGCAATTAGAACCAAAAGATATAAACTTATACATAATATTAATTACAAAATGCCATTTCCAATTGATCAAGATTTTTATGTTTCACCAACATTTCAGGTGACCTATAAAAAAAAATATAATTATAAATATAAATATAATCATATTAATAAATAATATGAGAAAAATTTATGAAAAAAATCACATTATAAATCATAAATTATAAATGAATATTATTTTTTTTATTTAAAGGATCTTTTGAATAGAACTAGAAATAAACAACCACTTCCATGGTATAAAACATTAGAAAATTATTATGAAAGACCAGAATGGGAATTATATGATCTAAAATATGATCCAGAGGAAAAAAATAATATTGCTTCTAAATCATCAGTAAAAGTAATTAAAATCAAAATATTTTTTATATATTTTAATTGTAATCAATCTTCATCAATCAAAATCAACTTTAAATTATTTTTCAGAATATATTCAATGATTTACAAGAAAGATTATTAAAATGGCAGAAAATAACCAATGATCCTTGGCTTTGCGCACCTACAGGAGTTCTCAATGATATTAAAACTAAAGAACCACAATGTATGCCTCTTCAAAATTTAATTTAAAAATTTTGATTTATTTTTATAATATAAAAATTAGACTTAATTTTTATAATATAAAAAATATTTTCAAATAATACTCATAAATATTCAATATTAACATCATAAGCAATATGAAAGATTTATTATTATCAATTTATTATTATATTTTTTTTATTTAATATTATAGAAATGGTAGAATAGATATTTAAATAAATTGTTAATATTAATAAATATAATGTTTGACTGGAAATATATTATAAATTGTTACATAACAAAATATTACAAATTTTCTTCATTATTTTTACATTAAATATTAAAAAATTTTTATAAAATCTTGTACATTATTATTTTCAATATTATGCAATTTTTGCATATTAGTATTTTTTTAAGTACAAATGACAATTACATACATGTTTCATATTTTAGTTGAAATATATTATTTCCATATATTAATTTAAATTAAATTTTTATGAGTATTAAATTAATGATTTTCTTACTAAACAATAAATTTAATAATTTTATTTAAATATATACTTACTATAATGACTTCTAATCAAAAAAGAGGATGTGATATAGTCACATTTTTTATATCCTTATCACGATGTTTTAAAAGTATTTCATTTAATTGACGAATATAGCTTGATGATTTATTTGCGGATTTCTCTACTGCTTTTAATTCTGTTGATATTTCATTCATCTAAAGTTCAAACGAATTGATAAATATTCAAAAAATAAATTCAATAATGAATATACATTTACATTTCTTTACGAAATCTTACATATTCTTTATATCCTAAATATCTGTTATATTTTTGATTATTATTATAAATTTGTTTCACTTGTATCATAAAAACAAGACACAATAAAAGACCACCGAGCAATACAAGTAAATTTGTATTTTGAAAACTACGTAAAACGAGCATTACTATTGTTGAGGTTATATTTATACTTGAAAAATTTAATTTGAAGTTTTATTTATTTAAACGTATTTATACTAAAATAAAAAATTTCACATTGTATTACATATACAAATAATTTATTTCTAAAATAATCATCATATTAATAAATCACAAATAATAAAATAACTGTTATTTAAAATATCAATTAAGTTAAACTTGATAGTATTCATTGATAGTATTCATTATCAACGCTAGATGTCTTCAATATGCAAACATGATGAAATAAATTGTCAATTTTATTGATTTATGAATACTTATCTATTTTAAATGATAGTCAAAGTACAGACTAGATATGAACATAGAATAGACATGTCATTCAATGTATTTTTGTGTCACATAGTCCGGAGGCTACGTAGTCTCTATTACCATTCTTATGTCACATGCGATATTATCGATTCAAAATAAAATTAAACAATACTAAGCGATGCTACAAAAGGAATTGTAATTAAATCTAGCGATAGCCAATTGTTTTTAACATAAGAATATAATTATGATCGATTTACATATATATAGATTTTAAATTTAGCATGAAATATTATAATGTAAATTATTTTTGGTTTTCACAGATATATTCTCTTGATATAAAATCACTTGAAAATTTTAGATCTTAAAATTTCATAAGAAATTGTGTTTGCTACTTTTTCTCATATTATTATATCTTTCTAATATAAAATTAGTATTTTAGCAAAAATTGTTGCCCAAATTAAAATTTTTATAATAGAAGAAAAAAATATGAATTTTTTCCTTCTATTTTTAATGAGATTTTTTGAGACGAAATTATAATTTTTGTAATATCTAAAATTTTCAATTGAATTTTACAATTTTATATTAAAAAAATATAGTCTAAGGCGAAATATATACATAATATTTTCTAAAATTTATTTGATGTATTTATTTTATACTAATTTTATATATATCTTTGTTTATTTTTGAATATTTAATTATTTCATAATTGCAAAATCTTAGCTTAGCGACTTATGAATTAAAAAACATTTATTTCTATCACTGAATGATTTTTTTTTATATGTCTTGAGCAATATATTTAATCCCAAATCAGAATCAAATATTATAAACGAAACAATAATATATTAAAATTTTATTTTTGATTTTTTATCTAATGAAACATTTATTAATATATTTTTAAGATTAATTAATTAAAATAATAAGTGATATAATTTCAATGATAATTTGTATATTTAATAAGTAATATAAGTAATAACTTTTTTCTTTCTTTATTAAATAATTAAACATAATCTAAATTATATTGTTAATTTTAATTTAAAAAAATTAATTTAGAAAAACTTTATAAATGTGTTGATAATAATTTCATAAAAATCTAAAAATAAATAAACTTTACAGTTTTTTAATATATATTATTTCTACAATGTTTTCGAATATTTCAATTCTTGGAATCCATTGTTTCTTTCATTCAGTGTTTTTTTCTAGCTTCAACAAAAAACGCCACATCAGAATAAGAATCAATATCTCTGTTGGATAACTATAGAACTTTCTTCAGTCCTGAATCTTTTAGAATTATAAAATATTTACTATAGAGAATATACATACATACATAATGGCATACACATATATAATATACATATATATATATAT